TTTTCCTCCTTGCTTCCTAGGGGGAGAAAACATCATATTGTATTTCCCTACCACTTGTGGAATGGGAGATGCTCTTACATTTTCTGTTTTGTCTCAACACAAACAAAGGACCTACAGAACATCTGTAAATATAGGTGCAGAAACACTAAAAGTTATATACCAATATGTATTCTTGTGATACTGGAATTTTGTTTTTCAACATTTATATTTCCCTTATTATCATACTATATAGTTGCCCCACTCAAAAGGCAAAATAAATGTAAAGCTTTTAAGTAATAAAACATTCAGTTAAGAAATTAAAAAGTTGATTTCTACAGCAAGCTTAACAGTCAGTTTGCTTATGCTGCGTACATACCACATTCAACCCTTTCCCTTGCTGCCTAGGCATACCTACCTTCATTCGAAAATTGCAATGAGTCAGAAGACTCACGGAAGCTTTAAAAACAGAAGTCAAGCAATTAAATTTCTCATCTTCAAGGACACATTAATATATGCTTTTATGTTTAACAAAGACTGAGGAAGAAATAAATGTATATCAATTCATCCTACTTACTTTTCTGAATTTTGTTATTACATGTTAAAACATTGTTAAAAAATAATTCTGTGCACTGAAGACAAAGATATTTTACGGTAAAAAGTGGATTGGAAAGATGAGATATTTTTAAGTGATTACTGGATGGAGTTAAGTACTATGATATTGTTTCAGAATGAAAGAAAATATCACAAAGCAAAGACCAACTCAGAATGTGGTACACCCCAAATAATTCATATATGAAGCTTGGCTGTTGAGATTTCATGTGCCTTTTAGAAGAGTTGGAAGAGCCTCTTGGAAGCAGACACACAGAAGCAAGTTGGGGAAAAAAAATGAATTATCTTCTAAAACAAGCTAATTTCTGCTTTGCTCAAGGGACTTCATTCCAGTATACAATTATTAATGCTCTCGAGTTGCAATAACTAAAGAACTGCTGTGAATATAACATACTCTTCTAAGCTGTTGCACAAAAGGCTAGAAAGATAAATTTATTTCCCATTTCATCTTCCATTCCTGTACAATTGCTTATCTCTTCCTGCAAAGAGATAAGTTACTATATATTAAATCAGATGATTCTCTGACCACAGCTATCGAGCCATAGCTGGTTCTTCAACCTAACACATGGCTTTTCCACAGAAAAGAACATTCTCCACACGTGTTTTGGGTTCAATCCCATGATGTCTTTCCTGCAATCATGAATAATACAACATGCGCAACTTATATACTATAAATTTTATGGGGCTTGGGTATGTATGTATGAGAGGCATAATTTGTGTTTGTTTATTTTTGTCTCATCTTTTTTGAGAACAAGAATGTGTTTGCAACTTAAGGATGTATATAATGTTGTGGTTCTGTGATTTAGAGACAGCTCACATGGCCCCAAAGCCAGGCATGACTGACTGTCCTGTACAATATCATTATATTTATTTGTAAGTGGATAATCAACAAGATTTCATTAATATATTTTCATCAAAAGAACGTACAATTGAGCTAAACTGGTTTAAGTATCCATCCTGATGCTCAGCTCAGAGTTATTGTCTCCATTTCCGATACGCCAGTTTTTAGTTTTTAAAATACAGTCATTCAAAACCTGCTTCAAGAATATTGAACAGAGTATCCTCTTATCCTACCATGGAGAGCTCCTACCATCACTACTCTGCCCATTCTCTCTCTCTTCTGTAGCTCTGCAGGCTGATACTGTTGTCCCCAACTTCTGCTCCTCTGAGTAGACTTCCTGTGTTCCAACACCTGTCATTAAATATCACAGCTGCTTAAGCACTGTGTTTGGTCAGCTTTAATAGCTATTGCCACTCTTCCAATTTGAACAATGCTTGAGTGTTTGAATAGAAAGACAACTAAAAGTGCAATTCAACACATCATGTAATTAGTGGGCACAATACCGTGTGTTTAACGCTGCATTTAATATTACTTCAAGTAACTATGATAACTAAAGTTTCTGTTCTCCACAAGAGCCAGAACATTCAGCTGCAAAAGCATAGTGAACATACTAGGCCCAACTATCAGCTAGAATAGAAAAAAAAAATGTCAACATACCTTACTGATAGTGATTAAGATACATGAAGCAAGCAAAGACTGCTTTAGCCAGCCTTACCAAGACTATCGGACTTTGATTTGAATTTCATGTATTGTGGAACCTATCTGTGAAACAAATTGGTGTACCTCCTAGCTAGTAAAAGCCAGTGAAAAATAACCATGTCCTCTACTTCTGATACTCAAAGCCTTTTTTCAGAGAAAGAAAACGGTCATATTTTTTATTGAGTTGGGCAATTTGTACGATCTTGAAGAAGTTAAAATTTGGCCATGAACATCTTTTCAATTATTGTACTATCTCCAACATCTCATTCAAGGGCAAATTGGGAAAACATGAACTGAATAAGAACCAATAACATGTGACATCAGTCACAGCTGAAACATCTCACAATCAGACCAGGCCATAGCATGCAGATGACTAACGGTACTGAAAGACAACCAACTTCTTTATGGCCACTGACACTAGATCTCATTCTCACAGTGCTAGACTTCTTTGCAGACTTTAAGTAGAACCACAAAATACTATGGCTACATTTCATAGCAGGAGTAGACTGGGCAGATCCACAGAAGCTCAAATCACTCCTCTCCAGCAGTGCTCAAGATAGTGATGGATAACTGCTTTTTCCTCCTCTCCAAAGACCCCAAAGGGATTCATGCTAGCTCACATGAGACCATTAAGAGAGATACTGAGGCAGTACAAGCTTAGTTGCCAATGGTCTGCTAATAGCACTCAACTGTACCTCTCGTTCTCAACTGAAGTAACCAGTGCCACTACTAGAATGTGAGAATACTGATAGGAAATTAAACTGTTGAAAAGCAACCACATGAAGCTGAACCATGCAAGATCAAAATGATGCTGGTCAAAAAGGAGAAACACTTTGGCCAACATACCTTTATGTTCCACAGAAAGCGCACACACCTAATTCATCAAAGTGGCATGAACTCATTTGACTCTACCTGGTCACAGAAGCTAAGGAGCCAGTTTTCAAATATGCTGTATTTGCCTCTAAACCAGTGGTCTCTAACCTTTTTAAGTAGGAGATCACCTTTGGCATTTAAAAGCAACCCAACATGTTCTGTGCACCACTGCCACGCCCTCCCCACCCAACCCAGCAGGTAAGTCTGTGGGGAGGCAAGGGTAGGGGCAGATCAAGGCAGAGGGAAAAAAAATTACCTGGGAGCATGCCTCCCCAGCAGGTAAGTCCCACCCAGCTGGGGCCCCCACTCAACTTACCCCTGCTCCTGCCTCTAGAGCACTGACCCTCACTGTGGGGGCCTCAATCTAGCCCCCAACTTTTCCCTCCCCCACATACTGACTTGCTGGACTGGGGCACACGCAGGCGTGCATGCAAGCAGGCACTCATCTCCCCACCCCAACCTCGGATCAACTCCAAGAGACTCTGAGATCTTCCACAGGAGGCTCCGAGATCTACCGGTGGATCGAGAGCCACTGGTTGGTGACCACTGCTCTAAACTGACAACACACTGAATCCTTTCCTCTCTGATGATGGCCTGCATTTGTTTCCTCCACGCTAGCTTTGTACAGTTCAGTGTATCTGAAGCTGAATGAGAAGACAATGCATAGGTTCCAGACAGTATATAGTGTGGCTTCCTGCCTTTTTCATGACTCATATTACCATGAGTACAATGGGCTTTTGTTTAAGTACATTCACTGGCTCCCACAGATTCCAACATCAGTTTCAGGTCTTGGTCTTAGTTTTCAAAGCAACTAAAAAGGATTGAGCCCCAGCCAAATCAAAAGATGAATTCTGATCTATAAAGCCTACCACAACAATCTGTCATCTTCTGGGACAATTCACATCACAAATCCAATCATTCGAAAACATGAGGGGTAAGGAAAAAGTACTCTCTATGCCAACGGAACCAGCTAGAGAGAAATCCTCAAGAGGAAATCAAGTGAAACCAGAGTCTAACAATCTTTAAGGAAAAACTACAAAGCCATCGTCTTTAAGAAAGCCTTTCCATCCTAAACCACAGAGACGCAGCATTTTTTGTTATGAACCTCTACTAATCATGACAAAGGAAAAGTTCAGATTACAACAAAAAAAATCATAGATGCAGACTGTTTAAGCAAAAACAAAACAGAAGGAAATGAGATAAAGAGATCTAAGATTGTGTGCAACGTGTGCAATGTGACAGACCAAAAAGAAAAAATTCAGCATGAATCTAATATGCATTCAAAATGACCCTGGCCATATGGCAAGCAACATCCAAATCTACTATAAAGAGCTGAGCAGCTTGAAAGGGGCACTTATGAGTTTGACAAGCAAAAATTCTTTTTCTATTAGATTTTATGGGTAGAAATAAGGGACTGACTTAATATTATTAAATGCATCAGTCCTAACAACTTCCAAACAGGTGCTTTCTTACAAGCAGAGTAATTAGCTATGTTCCAAAGTGATACAAATAAATAATAAATGTGACCTCATAAAAGATTAATTATTTCCCTTGGTTTACAATTCATTTTAGCTTTAGTCTTATAAGAACAGTTTAGTCACAGATTTGTTCCCACTGTAAGCTCATAATGAGATCTTTCTTGGCAGTATTCAAATTAAAACAGGCAACTTTAAAACATGGATAGTACAGTTATATGCAGAAAGAAATGTGCTATTTTCTACTAGATCCTGAAAATCAAATTAAATATAGATGAAAGATATAAAAGAGTTGGAGTGGTGCTGCATAAGAGTTGACATTTCAGTAATAGTCAGCCAAAAATCCAACCAATCTTTCTGCTTCACATCAAGGAAACCACATTCATGGATATATATTTCTTACTAATAGTAATTTAAATTACTTGCAGAACGCAGAAGCAACCAAACAGAAAAGTATACAAAGATTATTCTTAAGTATACTTTAAACAATTACAAAAAATCAAAAAGTAAACGCTGAAATTTACTTTTTGGATGATAAGACTTCAGGCTCTATGACAATGCTTGCAACTTTGTGAAAGTAGTCTCGGATCAACAGTTGGCATCAAATACTCATCTTCTGGAAACGGGCATGTAGACTGGATAAACATCAGCACTACTATTTAGGAGACACTATGGGGGGAAAAAAACAACTTGAAGCAAATTCTATTCCACACACTTTGGTATTTGTAAAAAAAAAAGACATATTACTTCAGGTGTTATTTGCAAGCGTCAAGAACAACATTTCAGTCTGTCATTCTATATGCTCATTCTTGGGACCATTCAACACATTACAATGTAGATTCCTTGAAAGTAGTGACTAAACCCAAAAGAGAGGCTACTGCTGAAGCTAGGTTCATAACTAATTTTAATATTTTCCCTATTGGGTGTATAGTCTGACTTCCTTAAACATATTCCTTTTAAGCAGGGCAATACAAATAGCAGGAGATGGGTCTCTTGAAGCAATGCTGAAGACTTGCTAGAGAGTCTAGTCTTACTAGAGAATACTGGGCCTCCAAGATGTGTGAAACAGTAGTTTGCCTTTGAAAAAGATCAGTATTTTAATATTACTCTGCTTATAACATTAAAGATGCAATTTCATCTGAGATACTATAGAGCAGGGTTTAGCAACTTTTTTGGAATAGTGGGTCCAATTAACTTAGCTTACTCTGAAGGAGAGGCCACCAGCCCCTTTTCTGGTTATTACTTGTGAAGGCTTGCAGCCTCAACAAGGAAAGGTTCTAGCTAAGTGACTTGTTTATGGAAAGCCACTATGCCATTCTGGTAGCAAAATGGTTATGCAGTTATGTTGCACACACAAGTTTGCAGAAATGCACTGGAAAAAAATCAAAGATGAAGATGGACAGAAATGACATTATCACTGGCCAGAAACAGGAGTTCTAGTGGTGGAAATTTTCCACCACTATGAATGTTTGTACTACTCCCTCTCCTGGAAACATTCTGCCTAGACCTGTTCCCACTCCCCTTGTCCTTATGCCCACTCTGCCCACACAGTCTGGGGAAGGCACAGCTCAACTCCTCCTGGGACCAGAAGGAGGCGCACAGCAGCTGCTTTCCATACCCTCCTTTGACCAAGGTAACCCTAGTCTCAGCAGGGCCCAAGGAGCATTTCTCCCCGCCCTCTCCTCCACTCCTCTTGGTCCCTGGAAATGAGTCAAGCAGTGGGGAAGACAGTCATTGTCCTATGAGAAACTCTCCCAGGAGTAACCTCTACTGGGTTGGAAAGGGGTTATTTTTCTGCCAGAACTGACACCATTTTTATTCTAGGAGAATAAAAAGTGTGTGAATGCTTCTATGATTGTGGTTGCTATAAGGAGAGCTGAGCTTTTCCCAGTAGAAAGGTAATACCTCTACATGGCTAGAAAGATAGCATGCTTGGTTATTTCCAAATTGGCCCTTTGATATTTTGAGGCAAAATCATAGAACTAACTGTCTTACATTTATCGAGGTCACTGTAATATACCATCAACTTTTTTGCTTCCCAATACTCCAGGACTTTACTAACATCCCAAAAACTGCTAATACTTGCTTGTATTTAAAATTCTCCCTAGCTAATGTTGGAGTTAAACATATTTATCATCATTTATACAAACGCAAAAAACAATGACCCTTCCTTTCCAAATCTGCAACAAACTTATTAAAAGAGTATTTTTATGCATCATTAACAATGTTCACCCAGTAATAATAGTATATTCATTAGGATTTATTTTATTCTTAAGGCATTTTTTTTTAACAATTCCTTTTTAACATTTCCTTTGTATTGTCCATAATACTTCTAGCCATATATTTTTACTAATACTATTAACTTGCCTCCTTATAAAGCTGAAAATACTTAATAGTAATAGTTATAATTTATAAGTTATCAACTTCCCCTTCTTCCAGCCTTCTTTTTTATATTTATATATAAAAATAAGAGCAAAATGATCTCACTTTCTATATTAAACAGAAAAGAACTTTAAGACAACTTACCCTCCATTGTGATTGTAAAATTCTATCAACTAAAATATTTTTAATGAAAAAAAAAATACATACCTTTGGGAATACATTTTCTTTAGCTAATTCTGCTCATATATTGAGTTTTGGAAAACTGACATGTAAAGTGTCACAATATTCTCAACCATATTTTGATTACATTTATTATGGGCAAACAAGTTGTGATCACTTAAAGCCAATAATTTAATTCAGTAATGAATTCGCCTTTAGTTGTCAGAATAAAATCCAATATAGAATTATCTCAAATTGGGTGCAGATCTAAATATTAGAATAAGATCTATATTTTTAGGAATTCCCAAGACATTTCACTACCAGCAACATAATATTTTCAGCAAGTATTTCCCAGACTGAAATTCCCCCATTATAATGCAACTTTCCTTTTTAACACTCTAGGCAGATGTTATAGAAAGCATTTGTTTTCTTCTTCAGTATGATTCAATGATCTCTAACAGACCCTCACTACTACCCTTGTTTCTACTTTATCATTAAGAATATTAATCCATAAGCATTTTAACCTACACTTAGTTGTCAGTGGGCACATCTACGTGTCACCTTACGTCACCATACCAACACGCTATGTCACCGTATGACATGCTATGGCGAAGTAGTGATCATGTGTGTCTACACATGACTGGCAGCTACTTCGCCATAGCAGCACACTCCCCTAAATTAGTGGCTAAAACTAACCATCCACTGTACACATGGTGCAGCTACACTTAGCTTTAGTACTTCTAAAAGGAAGTATTATTTATTTATTCCAAATGGAAGTACTAGAACATGGCGCAGTAACAGTGTCACTTAAGGCAACGTGTAGACACACTTGCCAAATAGCAAACAGCATGCTATCTGATGCCATCCACTCCCTTCCATCCCAATATATCCTTCACAAATATGATGCATGCCGTAATTTATATCATTCTAGTGATTTTTCACATGTGGACACAAATTGAAGAGTTCTGAAATGTCATATTTGTTAGCATTATGTGTCAAATGCTAAAGAGTCCATAATGCCTCATGACAGTCTTTCCTGCCTGTGGCAAAAGCTGTATTACAGCTTTTCACACTACATAAAGCTATGCTTACAATGGACAATATCCTCAAGAAGCAAAACAAATTTCCACAGTGACCTGCCACACCTTGATCTCGTGTGATATGCTTCAGAATGCATTTCGGATAGAGGCCAAAATTCACAAGAATTCCAATAATTTGTAACAGATTCCTGATGGCATATGCAATGCAGTATAGTCAAATTCAAGTTATACAAAAAATCAAATCCCACATGATGCAGACTGACAATACTTAAACATAAAAATTGTGCTCAAAATAGAAGTTAATTTTGCTTATCAGCAGCACCTAAAAGAGTTAGGGGTTTTTTTGTCATAATGACAGCAGAAAAAAATTTCAGGAGACATTACCCATCCTGACTTGGTATAAATACCCTTTTAACTTGTCATCTGAAATATTCAGTTAGAGCAAGTTTTAAGAACATAAGGAGGAAATGGAATTTGTTACTGAATGAGTTTATCAGATTTAATCAGATTTAAATCCTATTTGAATGTACACATGTGAAGCAGTGGATTCTGAAAAACGTTTGGCGGGATATGTCAGGTTTTGGCAGGGGCAGGTTAATTTATTTATTTTACACATCTCCTACATGCATGGCTCTTCTATAATATTTTCCTTTTAAGGGGGTAGCTAATGGAGGCAGTGGCTCAACACCAAAGTGCGATTCAGTCAAAGAATTACTGTAGGGGTGACATGTTCAGCAGTTTTTACATATGTAAGTTAAGAGTATAGGAAGCTGGATGTCAGGTATCATTATAGCAGATCCTGCTCAATGGAGGTTGCGATAGCCTGTTCAATGGAGCCATCTAAACATGGCTTAAATGTTGGTGATTCTTGCTTGAGCCAGAACACTGGTGTTCATTCTTCTGTCCTTCCAACTGACATGGAGGGTTCTTCGAAGACACTGCTGATGGTAACATGCCAAAACTTTCAGGAATTTCCAACATGTTGTCCAAGTTTCACACTCATACAACAGGGTAGGGATGACAATAGCATGGTAGACAAGGAGTTTGGTTTGGGTCTTGATGTTATGATCAAGGACATGATTTTGGAGACCTCCAAAGGCAACGCTGGCAGATTTATTCAATGCTGAATAACCTCATCTATGTTTACTTTTTGAGAGAGGTGGCTACCCAGGTAGGAAAATGTTCAACCATCTACAAACATTGTCCTGTAATTATAATGTGCGGAGGAGCAACTGGTTTGTTTGGCATGGATTGGTAAAGTATCTTGGTTTTTGTGAAATTGACAGTGAGTCTACGAATTTCATACACTTCACAGAAGCAATCAAAGGTGACCTGGAGCTCTTTAATGGAGTGGGCACACATGATATAATTGTCAGCACACTGAAGATCAGTAATTGAGGTGCTGATTTTCTTGAATTTGGAATGCAGCAGGTTGATGCTGGAGAGATTCCTGTCATGTGATACTGGAGGTTGACTCCAGGTCAAAGTCTCTGAGCAATAAGATGCAGAATAACTGCAACACAGATGAACATTGACTGAAAATTGTAAATCAGTCTCTGAGTCTCTGACAGTGCCCTATATATGAGGGAGATACACACACTAACCAGATTCAAGTGAAGCTTTAGACATATCAGTAGTGGTGTGGCACTCAATATCCAGCCCATGGAGTCATGTCATCCAGCCTGTAGGGCCCAGAAATTTGGCACCACGGAAGTAGTGGAGCATTAATTATGCTTACTGTAAAGATGGGCAGAGTTGTATTGCAAATTAAAACAGATAAAAATAACCAGTACCCTACATTAAGTTTTTCCTTGAATAATTTATCATTGCAATCAATTTATGGACAAAAGAGAGAGAGCACTCAAATTAATAACAGGCAATATACTAAAAAGTTCTCTAAAAATCAAAGATATTTAGGAAGAATTATTACTTTATATAATAACTAGCATCCAGATACATTTCCATTTAAACAAAAGACCTAGTTGTCCCTTGCTCTAGTAAATTTAGGCTTAAATGTCTCCACCCAAATCCAACGTCCAATATTGATTTAAAACTCCAAACTAGGTCAGAAGCATCCTTTACTAAAGTTTTTAAGGACACAGGTGGTGAAAATGGTACTCTTTTGCATACCAAATTGGGGTTATTCCAGCCATGATGACAACTCAAAGACCTCCTTGGGAAATCTCTACTATCATGTTGATACAGGGTTTCCTTGAAAGCCAGACACATTTCCAGTAATTTTATGAGATCAGGAGAAAGAAGGACCACACTGAAGAAGCCCTGAGAACTGGTTCTAAGTTTTAAACATTAAGATGCAAATGGCCGGATTCTAGCAGTAGTCTATGGATGAATCATTTTATACTGTGATTACAAATAGTTCACACAAGACACCAAATCCCATTCGCAACCACCTCACATTTATTCTAGTAAAATAACACTGCCCAGTCAGTCCAATATAATCAGTCAGTCCAATATAACTCACACAACGGAAAGTTTCCTCCATACTCAGGGAGGAAATAGCATATTTTCAGAGGACTAAATAAGCCTCAGCATGGTAACACATAAGATATTAGGGAAACCAGCACAATCTTGGAGATGGTGG